CCTAACCCTTTTGTTGTTGTCGTGGTCGTCGTCCTCCGCTTATCCGGTCCGGGTCGCGGGGGCAGCATCCCAACTAGGGAGCTCCAGACCGTCCTCTCCCCGGCCACCTCCACCAGCTCCTCCGGCAGGACCCCAAGGTGTTCCCGGACCAGATTGGAGATGTAACCTCTCCAACGTGTCCTGGGTCGACCCGGGGGCCTCCTGCCGGCAGGACATGCCCGAACCAGGAGGCATCCTGACCAGATGCCCAAACCACCTCAACTCCCTGTTTAGAACACTGGTCAGCTCTCGTGCCGTTTTAAAATGTTATCTAAACACAAGAGGAAAGGAACGAGGTTTCCCAGCTTGATAGATCCATAATGAAATGCTTCAAGGCATTTCTGATAGCCTAGTGAACTCGACCAAATTCTTGCTTTGCAAAGTTTGGTCTAGGAACGCTCCACTGGAACCTCCGCAGCTCCTACCAGGACTCTGGCTAGCCAATCACAGCTCTCTAGAGGGGCTTCAAACACATAAAGAGCTGTGATTGGTCCATAATGGTGGGCCAATCATAGTGCTCTATATACCTGGTGGGTGGGATGATGCAGCAGAGTGAAACAAGAGTATGTCACATTCATTGTCCAGTAGCATGTGGAGATCATTTGAAAGACAACGGTAGAACCCGCCCCACAACCGAGAGCCGTCAATGGAGCGTGGCCAGACTAAATAATACATTTATTTAGTATTATTATTATTTAGTATTAAATAATACATTTATTTAGTATTATTATTATTTAGTATTAAATAATACATTTATTTAGTCTGGCTTGCCAGGCTAATTTCTGAAGGTAAAGGCTAACCAGAAAAGGGCCAGGCAGGGTATACCTAATAAAGTGGCCAGCAGATTGCCCAAACAGAAACAGTTCTAGTGTTCCTGAGCTGTTTCATAACTCTGAATCTCAATGGTAACCCTGTTATATCCAGAATAGAAGCTGACAAAGATGCTTGTTTATTTACTTCTGACCCCCCAGGGCTCCATGGGCGCCGGCCGGGAGGACTCGCTGTCCTCCGTGTGAATCAGTCCCTGGAGGCGCTCAGCCTGCATTCCTCTCTGGTTTATTTTAAAACTGAAGGATGAGCAGCGTTGCTTCTACCCTCCCCCCCTTTCAAACAGGCACCAAGGCTCACGCGCCAGTGGTTTCTGCTGCGAACGCCAAACTTCTGATCGTAGGTTCAAACCAATACACAAGAAAACAGAGAACATACAAGACACGAGCAGTAAAAGGGAGAACGATGCTCCACTACTAGAGGAAAAACGCCAAACTCACCTACGACCATGAGGGTGAACTCAAAGCCTTTCTTAACCGATTTACGATGAACCTGATTTGGAAGATTTGCAAATCCAACATATCCTGGAGTCTCAGGGTTGGTGAACTGTCCCTGCTGTGAACCCAAAGACAAGAGGAGAGAGACTAAACAACCATGACATGTTAATATTTTTGCTGTGAGGCAGATCTACAGGTGCTGGCCAGTAAATTAGAATATCATCAAAAGGTTGAAAATATTTCAGTAATTCCATTCAAAACGTGAAACTTGTACATTATATTCATGCAATGCACACAGACCAATGTATTTCCGATGTTTATTACGTTTAATTTTGATATTTATAGGTGACAACCAATGAAAACATCAAATCTGGTATCTCAGAAAATTAGAATATTCTAAAGGCCAATGAAAAAATGTTTGTTACTCTAATGTTGGGCAACTGAAAAGAATGAACATGAAAAGAATGTGCATGTATAGCACTCAATACTTAGTCGGGGCTCCTTTTGCCTCAATAACTGCAGTAATGCGGCGTGGCATGGACTCGATCAGTCTGTGGCACTGCTCAGGTGTTATGAGAGCCCAGGTTGCTCTGATAGTCGTCTTCAGCTCCTCTGCATTGTTGGGTCTAGCGTATTGCATCCTCCGCTTCACAATACCCCATAGATTTTCTATGGGGTTAAGGTCAGGCGAGTTTGCTGGCCAATCAAGGACAGGGATACCATGGTCCTTGAACCAGGTGCTGGTGGTTTTGGCACTGTGTGCAGGTGCCAAGTCCTGTTGAAAGGTGAAGTCTGCATCCCCATAAAGTTGGTCAGCAGCAGGAAGCATGAAGTGCTCTAAAACTTCCTGGTAGACGGCTGCATTGACCCTGGACCTCAGGAAACAGAGTGGGCCAACACCGGCAGATGACATGGCACCCCACACCATCACTGACGGTGGAAACTTTACACTGGACCTCATGCAACGTGGATTCTGTGCTTCTCCGCTCTTCCTCCAGACTCTGGGTCCTTGATTTCCAAAGGAAATGCAGAACTTGCTTTCATCAGAAAACATAACTTTGGACCACTCAGCATCAGTCCAGTCCTTTTTGTCCTTGGCCCAGGCGAGACGCTTCTTGCGCTGTTTCTTGTTCAAGAGTGGCTTGACACACGGAATGCGACACCTGAATCCCATGTCTTTCATGAGTCTCCTCGTGGTGGTTCTTGAAGCGCTGACTCCAGCTGCAGTCCACTCTTTGTGGATCTCCCTCACATTTTTGAATGGGTTTGTCGTCACAATTCTCTGCAGGGTGCGGTTATCCCTAGAGCTTGTACACTTTTTTCTACCACATTTTTTCCGTCCCTTCGCCTGTCTGTTAATGTGCTTGGACACAGAGCTCTGCGAACAGCCAGCTTCTTTAGCAATCACCTTTTGTGTCTTGCCCTCCTTGTGCAAGGTGTCAATGATTGTCTTTTGGACAGCTGTTAAGTCAGAAGTCTTCCCCATGATTGTGGTGCCTTCAAAACAAGACTGAGGGACCTTTTAAAGGCCTTTGCAGGTGTTTTGAGTAAATCAGCTGATTAGAGTGGCAGCAGGTGTCTTCTATATTCAGCCTTTTCAGAATATTCTAATTTTTTGAGATACCAAATTTGGAGTTTTCATTAGTTGTCACTTATGAATATCAAATTTAAATGTAATAAACATCGGAAATACATTGGTCTGTGTGCATTGCATGAATATAATGTACAAGTTTCACGTTTTGAATGGAATTACTGAAATATTTTCAACCTTTTGATGATATTCTAATTTACTGGCCAGCACCTGTATAGCAGAGTGGGGCTGGGCCTGGTCCAACAGCTGTTATGACATCATCACGACAGCCAATGACAAGGCTGTGATCTGTATTTAGATCGATAGCTGCTCTGAATCACTTAGAAGACAACATCTCTGACCATTCTACATTAAAGTGTGTGTGTGTGTGTGTGTGTGTGTGTGTGTGTGTGTGTGTGTGTGTGTGTGTGTGTGTGTGTGTTCCTATAGAAGATCCGCCATGTCTTCAGTCTCCTCTGCAAACACAAAACTACAACTGAAACCACCCAGGGTGACGTTACGTCTCAGAATAGAGACAGACACACTCTTACTTCCTCAACCCCGTAATCCTCTAACACCCTTCACACACGAAAACAAGAAAAGATGCAGCTCCTGCTGCAGAACCGGCAGATATCAGGTACAACCGCATACCTGACACAGTTTCATCTCCAACAGCTTACCTTCATTTTGTCAGCCTGAGACATGATTTCCCTCCTGGATCAACCTGAAAACCAAACCAAACCAAACGGTTAGATGTAACGGTGAAAATGAATCCAACTGTATGTTTTTGGCTTGCTTTAATATTCTGAGTCATTGAATGAAAGGCCTCAGTAACTGTGCGGGGGACAGGAAGTCTGCTCCGTGCTCAGAGGCTTATGCTGCGCCTCACCACAAAAACTCTTCTTCATCACAGAGGCCCTCGCGGCAGGGCTAGGACACTAGCTGCTGATGCTAATCCCCCATGCTGTAGTCTGTTTGTGCTCACTAGTGTGTATGAAGTTGATGCAGGTCAGGCTGTTTTCAGGAAACATTTAATTAACTCAAATAGGGCTGCAACAACGAATCGATAAATTCGATGAAAATCGATTACTAAAAGCGTTGGCAACGAATTGCGTCATCGATTCGTTGTGTCGCACAACTCTTCCAAAAGCGCGCCCCCCCCCCCCCTTCCCGCCCGCCGTTGCGCGCAGACCAGAGCAAGTCAGATCAGCGCGAGGGAGAGCCGCAGATCAGCGCGAGGGAGAGCCGGCAGATCAGCGCGAGGGAGAGCCGCAGATCAGCGCGAGGGAGAGCCGGCAGATCAGCGTGAGGGAGAGCCGGTACCGGCAGATCAGCACGAGGGAGAGCCGGCAGACTTGCGCTGCTGCGAACCGGTTCCGCATTGTCGCGCAGCGATCCAGGCAGCTGCTTCCAGCGCACGGTCCATTCTCAAAGTGGCGCAACCAAAAAACTATAATTAGCACACAATCGTTCATGTCCGCACATGTTCTCTATTTTCTGTCTTATTTGTGCCTGAAGCTCGCTACTGCGGAGCTCATCACCTGTGCTGTGGTGATGTCACCTCACGCAGCATCGAAAACATGCTCTGAGCTTTTCGGTCAGGAGATCCCTTTGATCTGCTCAAAAGTAACTGATGAGGTGAAAAGGTAAGAATCCAGGCAACAGATTTTCTGGAGAATTAAGAGGAGATGCAGGAAGATGAGAGACAGACAGGACAGGAAAATAGTTTAATAAAAACAAGAAAACAAAACAAAGTGTTGAAAAGTCAAATGTAGGTAGATTTATCTCCACTACACGTTTTTACCTGTAAAAAACAATAAGTTATACACATGTCATATTTATACATCTGATACAATTCAGATCACCTTCAAAACTCAGTCACACACCCAGGGCCGTTTCAAGACATTTTGGGGGCCAAGGCAAAATGCCCCCCCCCCCCCCCCCCCCCATAACTGGGCTCCCCAGAAGCCTCTGTGTAATTCATGCCCTCTCCAGTAGTGTTAGTTATATGGTGTTTATAAAAGCCCCTCAGACATTACTGACATGTTCTAATATTATCAGATGAAAAACTAAATTATCAGACATGCTGTCTCATCTGCTTCTTTTAAAAACTTGCAAAAAGTAACAAAACCATTTGAAAGCCACTATTTGTGGATTCTCTTATAGTTTCCATGGAGTGTGTGACAACTTATTTTTTCATTGATCCTATCGTCTAATCTCACAGCTGAAACAAGCACCCTTAATAATCTGTGCACAGGAAGCTTACCAATGCTGTAGTAATACAAAAGGTATAATAATTTATTATTAATAAAACCTTGTTGCAGTACTAAAGCAGAAAAATTAGATTTTGCATTAAATATGCAAAATATTTACATATGAATTGTTTTAGAGCCCTTTAATTGGCAGAATCTGATATTAATTTAGTTCTTACAAAAAATGGGTCCCAACATGGTTTGTGTGACGTTGCCATAGTGTGACGTCATAGGCACAGATCCCCTGTCCTCTTGTTTGGAAATGGAAATATGATCACCCTATATTAAACAAACTGTCCACCCGGGCTTTTGCGCTGCACAGAGACGCTTCGCTGCCTACGACTGAATGTCAGTTGAGAGTCAGTCTCATGCAGACTGACCAATGAAGAGAGGGCCTCAAGTTAAGACCCTCTCCTCATTGGTCAGTCCACACGAGGTGGGTCACAGGTTACTCTGGGCGGGTTACGTGTTGTCAGGCATTCAAGTATTGAGTATATTTACTGCATATTACAGTAAAATATTCTGTATGTGACCACATTATGGTGATCCTTGGGTCGTGATGATGGAGCCCTTGAATATTGTTGCCCAGGGTACAACAAAGTGTTAATCTGGCCCTGGTTCCGCCGTCACATTCCCGCAGAAACTGGTTGATCACACCGGGGCCGGACTACTAGCATGTGGTTTTACAACCACAATGTCCTCAGAAGCAAAAATGCTTTTAAAAGGGAGGGAGGAGTCCTAACTGTTGCTGCAGGCGTGTTGTGTGAGAGTGCAGTTATATACTGGTTAATATATTTTTGGGTTCAGTTGCTTTCATGTGGCCTAATGTGAGTCTATTTGGGATCATTGGAATGATCAGCAGCATTTCTTGATGTGACTTTATGGCAGTTGCCCAGGGCATCATTGCAAGGAGGATGGCATTCATTTACTTTTGTTTTATTTGGTATTTTTTCAGTCAGTTTTGGAAATAGTGATCAATTTTGATTAATTCACAGCCTATGTTTAATTACATTTAAAATAAATGTTAACAGATGAGATCAAACAAAACAGATGAGAACTGCCCTTAAGCTGTTTAACTTGGACCAAGCATTTTAGGTCACAGATAGATGTAGCTTAGGGTCTCTGTCTATACACCTTATAAGACAATTTAGGTGATGGCATGTTGTTTTTCTGCTATTGAACTGTTTTCTAATAATGTTGTGTTAAATAAAGTGAAGGAAGGAGAGAAATAACGTTTCCCTAGCAGTTTTTAAAAATTTCTCCATGTAATCCGATTAATCGATTAATCGTGTCGAGACCCCATCCGATTAATCGATTATCCAAATAATCGTTTGTTGCAGCCCTAAACTCAAAGAGTTAAACATGCAACACAAAATCAGGTGGGACCCCAAGCCCTTCTGGTTATGATTATTGCACAAATCTTTCAGCACAACAGGAATCTACCATATTTCCCGTTTGATTGAGTTTTCTGACAATAACAAACAGCCCAGCTGCGGGCTTCTGCCTGCCAAACTGGCGCCGTTTCCATTTGAACTGTTGCATGCCGGGAGAAGTGACGTCAACTCCCGGAGCTCTATAGCTGTGGGCAGGGTGAAATCAGGCTGGGGCGGTACAACATTAGCTGGAGACGGCCGGTGTCGGTACAGGATCTGCTCGGGTGCAAGATCGGCTCGGGGTATGGAACTAGGATTGGGACAATATTCAGCGTAACTTGTACCAAGTTTTGTAACTGCAAACAAAGTTACAAGTTAAGAATCCAAAGTTACATGTGATGAAACATGTTTGCAGTTACAAAACTTGGTACAAGTTACGCTGAATATTGTCCCAATCCTAGTTCCATATCGGGGTCCTTCGACTGCCGATGACGTCAAAGTACGGCAAACCCACTCAGACAAAATACACTACACATCTATACTGTTGGAAAGAATTTAGCAGTTTCGTTATTAAAATAATGTTTCTTAAGACGTAAGTTTGTGTTTATAATGGTATTTGTAAAATAAAACACTATTTTATTCATAATGTTGAACTCCTCTTTGAGCACATCCCTTGAAGGATCATAGGTATTAGCAACACCTGTGAAATTGTATTTGCAGGAAAGAAGTGTGTCCCGTTTATTGAAGTATTTTTTGTTTAGAGTTTTTGACGTCTTGTCCATGAGTAGTTCAGGTACGCTCATAGCTGCTAGCCAAAATTCTGGAGTTAAAAGTTTTCTGGCTTTACTAAAATACCTGTCTGTACTTATATGACTGATGGTAGTTTTACTTTCTATTAGACTCCAAATGTAATCATTTGGCACGTTTCTAATTCATAATTTGTAATAATGTAATCGGTGATATTAGCATTAGCATTCCTATGGGTTTTTCCACATATATTAGCGTTGCGCTAACCACTCGCTGCCAAATTGCAGCCTTTGCGATTAGAAAATCTCCTTTTGTCACATCGCAATTTAATTGCACATGCAGTTAATCGTTCAGCCCTAATATACATGCAGCTCTATGCTTAAAGTGTATTTTCAAAGAGGTAATGATGGATTTCTTTGTAAAAGTTGTCCATCTTTCCAACAGAAAGATTTACCTGGACCAACGTAACGTGATTACGTAATTCCGTAAGGTTCATGTTCAGCCAATCAACTACTTTGACGTCATCGGCAGTCGACGGACCCCGAGCCGATCTTTAACCCGAGCTGATCTTGTACCGACACCGCCACACTAATTTGAACGCAGGAAAACCCCTGCAACCCATTGTATTGAAGTCTGTTTCCCATTACATATGGTTTGTATAGGGAGCCCAAGTCACGCCCGTGTACTTCCAGACCACGAGTCCCCGGAAGAACGAAAAAATGAATGCAAGTCAACGGGACTAAAAACGCTATTTTCTAATCCGCTTTGCCTTACGCCCTGGACCACACATGTTGTACTGCAATTTTAATGGAAAGTAATGATGGTGTTTTGACCACGCCAGTCACAAACTTTGAGATTTATCAGCTTGTAAAAGTTTGTAATTAGCACGACTGCAAACTAGAAATCGGCACGTTGCACATCACCACATACTCTCCTCTCCCCTAGTGTAGCTGCTACTCACCACATGACCAGATTTATGGTGGTTCTTTCCTCCTGTGGGAAGTTTGCTGACCTTACAGCCATTTTCCCAAGGAGTGGACAGTAGAGAGGAGGGACTGGTGCAGGCAAGGTGCTAGTTAAGAAGATGCTCTCTGAAGAGCAGGGTCTTCAGGAGTTTCTTAAAAATGGAAAAGGAAGCCGTGTCCGTGAATTTTAAAGACGCATTTTGATACCAAGAACGCGCTTATTTTCGAACGGGGAAAACGCTATTTTAGGTTTTGTGTGAAAATAAGTCCAGGACTAAAAATGGAAAACGGGTGGAACCGCCCTTTAGCCAAAAGATGAGCCGGAAGTCAGATTCCGAAGCCAACTTCAGAGCAGTAAATCAAAACGATTCCCTCTGAATATGAGCGAACGAAATAAATTCGCTTCTTTTACAACACACGTGTAAACACGTCTGTGTTTGGGTTTGAAGGGGATTCATGTGAACTAATTCAAGTGCATTACTGTAGAATGAGCACTTCTAACTAGCTAACGCTCTAATTGGCACTGAGAGTAGCTGGTTAATTAGCTACAGCTATCTCTCCAGACAGCAGCGGGTTCAGAGTGGCAGCTGAATACTGTCGACCACACTAACGAACAACCCCGTAGCATTATAATAAACTGCCCAGCTTGGTTTAGCTAACTGTGACTAGCCGCATAGCCTCTCCGCTGCAGGATGTGGAACAGCTCGGTTAGCTTCAACGGTTTCACGACCCCGAGATTAACGCAGCGACGGGACGCTCGGCGATAAAGTGATGAAGGGTGGTGTGTTACCTTACACTTAGTCCGTGAAAAGAATAGTGGAGATGGAGAACAGACAGAGAAACAAACGACGAGCTGCCGGCGAAAAGCAGACTTGGCGGACACTTCAAATTCTTCAGATTCCGGTGCGGCAGCTTCCTTTAGCGCAGACCACAATGCACTGGTGCAGGCAGGCTGCGCGCTGCTGGCCGGGGCCACATCAGCGGCGAACAGCAGTTACCAACGCGTTTAACCTCATTAACTCATACGTTTAGGGGATAACGGTTATTTACTACAGAGGCGGAGCTGCAAACCCTTGGATAGTTTTTCTTTTATTTAAGTTGCTTGGCTAAAGTGATCACTATCCGCCAGATAAACCCCAACTGAAACATGCGCTCCGATGCAACAACTTAAAAGTACACATAAAAGTCATAATTCTGGCAACCCGAATCTGCCGTGGAACGTAATACAGTTTTCCTATTAAAAATGGTCGTTAGACTACTACATTCGCTTTACACGCGCATAGAAGTTATAAGTATTTTCACTTTACTTCCGAAAATGACTCGTAAACCAATGTTTGTGGAAATGATTCGTTATATATAGACTGTCTGTTCCATATCTTCCAGGCGGCTCGTTGGTCTAGGGGTATGATTCTCGCTTTGGGTGCGAGAGGTCCCGGGTTCAAATCCCGGACGAGCCCATGTTTTTCTTGTGTTTTTTTTTTTTTTTGTTAAGGGGTTTGTTGCTGAAAAAGGTAGAATCACATTAGCTTCTCCTCCTCAGATGTGGCTGGCTGTGCCTGACTTGAACGTCTCTCAGCAAATTAACTGACAGGGATGTTTTGTTCAGGGCTTTCTGTAGCCTGACCTACCAGCAGGCCCGTTTCTAGGCATTTGGGAGCCCCAGGCAAGAAGGACTTTGTTCCCCCCTGTCAAACCGAGACGCCCCCCTCCCCCCACAAGAGAGCCGCGGCATGGACACACTGCTTATTATTATGTTTACATATCTTGCATAATAGTGCATGTATGGTAATGTTTACGTTTGTGAAAAAAACATCCTCCATCATCACATAGCAACAAACAGAGAAAGTGCAAACTTCATAAAAAAATCCAATTAAATGCAATATGATTTGTACTGGTCGTTTTGTCACAACTTGACCGTACACACGGTCTTGGTCATTGCACAGGATCATCAGTCATAAATATTGAGCTTGTGGTAGCTTGTGCAGAGTCACTTTGTGTTATTTTGAGGCCATGGTACTGCTGGAGGTATTTTCTTCTAGTGTTCTACTTCATCGCCATCCACATCAATGAAATGAGCTCAGAATTACAGCAGCACCAACAAAGTGCCTTTCTGGAGTATTTCTCTTATCCGATGGCACCATCTAGTGGCTGACAAGCGTATCACACAAAAAATCTGCCAAAGAATGTCAAATCAAGATTCTTATGCGTCACACCAACCAGGGGCGGAGCTATGGGTGGGCCTGGGTGGGCACAGGCCCACCCACCTTGGCAGAGTGCCCACCCACCAGGGCCAGGGCCAGGCAGTAGCTTGGTGTTGCAACACCAAGATGTGGCCAAGCAAGCAACTGCTTAGCAACCCCAGTTATGTTGTAACAAAAATTACAAAATAAAATTATTACCTTAATGAATGTGCACTTTATTCACTGTGTAATAACAATACTTTAACTTTTATATCTGGCATTAATTTTAATCACATTATGAATACGTTTTCCACTTTGCTTGTTGGAGTTGTAATTTGTTTTTTTTTTTATTAAAATAAATGTGAATTGGCACCTGCTTAGAAGAAGAAGAAAATATCATTTCTATAGCGCCTCTCAAGATAAAAATCACGAGGCGCTTCACAAAAACAAAAAATGTAAAACTATAAAAAAGAATTTAGAAAATGGTTAAAATATATTTTAAATGAGCAAAAAACAGACAATTGTGATTTAAAAAATGTAAAGAAAGCGAGAGAGTGAACAGGAAAGAGGGAAACCAGTGGATCCTGAGGAAGGTGGAATAGGTGGGGAGAGCAGAATAAAGAGAGAGAGGTGAAGAAGGTCATACAAAAGCCAGCTTGAACAAGTAAGTCTTCAGCTGCTTTTTAAAGGAGACCACTGAGTCCACTGATCTCAGGCTCAGGGGGAGAGAGGTCCAGAGTCTGGGGGCCACAGCAGCAGATGATCTGTCACCTTTGACCTTTAGCCTGGTGCTGCACAACCAGTAGGCTTTGATCACTGAACCTCAGGGACCTGCTGGGGGTGTAGGGACTAAGAAGATCACCAATGTAAGATGGTGCTTGTCCATGTAAGGCCCTATAGACCAGAACCAGGATCTTGACATGAACCCTGAAGTTGACTGGCAGCCAGTGAAGCTGGAGGAGAAGCGGGGTGATGTGGGTGTGTTTGGAGGACTTGGTCAGAAGCCGAGCACAGGCGTTCTGAACCACCTGCAGACGGTTCAGGGAGGTTCTGCTCAGACACGTGAAAAGAGAGTTACAGTAGTCTAAGCGTGAGGAGATGAAGGAGTGGAGAACTGTCTCAAGTTCAGAGCAGGACAGAACGGGATGTTTCATTCACGCTTACTGACACTACGCAACCATTAACGTACTGCAGAGAAAATATTCTGATGCCATCCCTACCTCCCAGTGAGGTTCATGATTGTTTTTTCTCAGAAGTGTCCTCCTGCCCTGGACTTCTCACAGCTGAACCGGGCATCTCCCGGAGTCTGCGGATGACATCATTGATATTGCCAGCAGTGTAAACTGAGAAAGGACTGGGTGTGAGGGGGAGACAGACGCACAGCACGCAGCGGACTAGCAAGGGCCTTTTATCTGATGCTTTTCCTCGCACTTACGTTAATCCAGTAAAGGAAACAAATCGTTTCATCCGGGTATCTCGTAGGGTCTGCTTTAGTCCTCTAAAGCCATTTTAATTGGTTCTGTTCATTTTATTGTTGTTGTTGTCTGGACCGGGGGTTCGGGTGGAAGATCCCGGAGGTGATGAGTCGTCCTGAACCGCGGCAGCGAGTCGCTGTCCATGGTCCTGAATGAGACAGAACCCTTGAGAGCCGGTGAGGAGAGGAGGTGTGGTCAGAGGTGTATGCTGCTTAGTCAAGGTGTGTGTGCACGCTCGCTTGGATTGTGCTTGCTGATTATTCCCTGGTGGAGGGCGCGGTTGCTGAGAATCATCTGATCTGATCTCTGGTTTTGCACCACCTCCTGCTGCATCCTGAGCTATCTGGAGCATGAAGAACAGTCAAAAATCCTGATTTTTGCGGTGACCTCTGGCAAGCTGCGGCCTTTTGGATCTTCAGCTCTTAGCTGACAGCCTGCAGCTAGGACGCTGAGACGAGCACGGCAGCACGCCTGGCTGAGATTAGAACCTGTCCAAGGTCCTGAAAGTTCACACGAGAGAGTGTGCAGGTCTTGGCCCAGAGCGGGAGTCCAGCGTCGACAACAGTCCTTAAATTGAAATTTAACAGAGATCCATGGAATAAGTATATAATATATAATCTTCTATCATAGGATTATTTGTGGCTTGAGAGATTTTATTTAAACATGTAATTCTGACGTGTGTGTGGCGCACATCTCATATGACCTTTGAAATTAATCAGGCCCATGCAGATTTTTCTAGGCCCACCCATTTGTTACGTTCTGGCTCTGCCACTGGTCACAAGAGGAGATGAATGCATGAATTTAAAGTTCATGTCTGGAGACCAACCTTAATAGTTTGGAGGCTCACGCTGGTGAGGAGACACCATTAGTTCTAGTAACACCTGGGCTCCCAAGGCCTGTTCTGACAGGATGGATCTTACGGGACCCTCAAGGATTCCAGTTGGATGATTGGAGGATTATTTAGGAGGATTGGGATGAACAAACTGGTTTCAGTGGTGAAGGGTTAAACGAGAGAGTGAACCCACCACCAAGGATGAACTCTGCTAACTTTAAAAATCAGCTGCTCTAAATAAGCATGAAGGTCAGAGAGGAGCTCTAGGATGGACATGGATAAAGGAACTGTAATGTAGAGGTAAAGTAGGGCAGGGCCAACGTTAGCAGCTGTCATACGGTCCATCTGAAATGTTTGACTTTCATTTAGCTTGTTATGTGACAGGTTAGAGCACAGTCTCATGTTAGAGTTTTGTCATGAGAACATTGAGATAGCTCACACACTGATGGCGTCTAAACAAATATTTTTTCTCAAAATAAAGAATAATTTTAATCACAATTGAAACGTACAATCGTAGAATACCTCATCCAATCAATGTGCACGTCCTGTTCTCACTGATTGCACAGAAATCCTTCCATCAACCTGTGTGTGTGTGTGTGTGTGTGTGTGTGCGCACACGAGTGAATTGTGAACTGGCATTGTGATTTTGCACTACTTAGATGTAGCCATCCTTACGCTGACAACAATGTAACTAAGTAACTTTTACTTTGAGTACATTTTATTTACGATACTTTTTACTTTTACTTGAGTAAAAATTTAGGCAAGTACTTTTACTTGAGTAAAAATTTAAGCAAGTACTTTTACTTGTACTTGAGTAAAAAATTATCAAAGTCTTGGTACTTGTAATTAAGTATGATATTTTAGTACTCTTTCCACCTCTGTAGTCATCAAACAGTCCTCCATACTGGTATCAACCCAAGGAACCAGCGACACAGTGTTATAAGGGACCATCTGTGGGCATTGTTATTCCTCCATACAATGACCAGCTGTGTGAAGGTGTGTGTATGTGTGTGTGTGGTTTCCTACAACAAGATAAAACTATAATATCATTAAATGCCCACAAGAACAAAACATGCAACTTCTGACATGAAAAGTTAACTTATCATAAGCTACAAACACGTAAACTGTAATGCACATGAACAATCTCTGCCAATGATGAGAATATGCAGCTCACAGCTGATAAACAAATGTTTGACCTGACAGTGGTTACAAACATTAACTGTCTGTCAAACAATTGACCTTATCTGTAACGCTAAACACAGCTGTAGCAACTAACACCGAGAGGCCAGCAGCTGACTCCACAAACGGCCACAAAAGTCCACCGAACCAAATAAATCTACAGCTATAAGCCACAGAAGAACAAGAATGAGGCGGAAATATTGTTACCCACTTCCACAGGACACACGAAACTAACATGTCCAGTCAAACAGTCGGTGTCATTCTTCACTGGTGTCAAACTCTAATGCAGGCCGTGTTCAGCTTTCACAGTTGTGCGATCACCACCTAGTGGCACAAACTAACACTG